CGTTACACTAATATGTAAAACATATTGTAAAACATTCTGGGCGATCATCCAATCAGATTTAAAGCCCGCTATGCTGATTTTATCCAATTCCGGTTTAATTTGACCCTTCTCAACGTACGTACGTACGAACTAGGGTGGTCCAATTTGGTGCAACAGCTAGGTCCAATGACGGACAAGCGAAATCGGCATCTGAACCTAAAATTTTGGGTTTGAGTCAATAAATTTCAATAGTGAAAAAGTGAAGTAATCTTAAATTTCACTATGCTAGCTAATTTCTGGCTTCAAAGTAAAAATGTTTAGCGTGAAAATTTACTTGTATGCTCATCCTTATATTAAATATATATAAAGGATATCTGATATACTCTAGAACTAAATATTCAGGTTGAAAGGTCCGAAATAAGAACTTCCTTTAATGCTGGTTGCTGAATACGCCACTAATGCTCATATTCATGGGGAGCCAAACTAATTTGATGTCAAATATAGTCATGAATGTGTATTATAAAAAATGACAAATTTCCTTTTCCGAAAACTTTAATTCGATTTCTGCACAAAGGTAATACAAAATAATCAAAGCACGGTAAAAAGTTGTTGCGATCTAGTTTCACAGATCGATCAGGGCAGCCTTCAAAGCTCTGGGTCATGTAAAAAAATGCCACCTTCATATCCCATAAATATATGAAAGTGTAACAATACAGCTATAATGATAACTCATGAGATTGTATTAGGAAAATTTACAATCAAACATACGTACTCTGCATGGTGGCGTTACTCATATAACCCGAAGGTCGCGTTGGCCGATTCAGTTTTAGATGTAAAAAACTATTACGCAGATATTTGTATAAGGCAAAATGGGTTAAAACAATAAACAAGGTTATTATAATGAATATAAATAAGGGTTTATTGGTATCATAACGATTAAATGATATTTTCAGAAATTGTGATAGAAAGACTTATATATTTTGTCAATACTAGAAGCTTTGAACTCCGCTCTGGACTATGACATAATTCTTTTTGAAAATTCAGATTAGTAAAAATTAAAAATCCAATTAAAATAGTGCTTTAACTTGAGAGATATTCAGATATTTGGAATTTTTCATTATGTAATGATATAAGTCTTTTTCGAAAACAGTTGTAAAAAAAAGTCGTTAAACAAATTCTACATGAGGAAATTTTTACATCGAGATTTACACTTTTGGACCCAAAATTTGGCTTATATGTTACACATATATGTATAAATAGAAATTTCCGCTAATCAATCGTTTAACAAGTTGCACATATAGAATATAAGGATTGCAATATTATGATTTGTTTGTTCCCCATTGGTTGTTCTTACGGGTTATTTACTTGTTTTATGGAAATTGGCTATTTCTAAATAGGAAATTACTTAAAACATACCTATAGATGTTATTTTTCATAAAATTTTTACTTTTAGAATTGTTCCACGGTAGACTTCAAAAGTAGTTAAACGATATTTATTGGTATTAATATTTATTTTATTTAATTTAATTTAGTTAAAATTGTATATTCTTTTGAAGTTCTTAAAAGGTAATATGAATGAAATAAATTACGGAAAACGGAATAAACGAAATTTACTTTAGATTATCTTGATTTAATCTAGATTATGTTTCGGTATCCACGTTAATTTAATAAGAATAGATAGTTATCATGGAATAATAAGACCATAAATGACATAAATATTAATAAGGTAATTTCAATCGAGCACTTTCAATTATATTATCAGTTATGCACGTAAGACAAATTTCCGATTTTCCGCGTATAGTATTACGTATATGTACTACATATATCACATGCAGTACGCACGAATAATTTACGCGAAAATTTGAGCTCTATTAGAAAGCTCAGTTGGAACGAGTGTTTGTAAATCTTCTGGGCATTTAAAGCCAAAAATTTAAGTTACAGTCCACATTTACTATACTATCAAATTATACGTGTTTTACGCGCTGTAGATAAAATCCGCTTACTATGAACCAATATCACGAGAAATAGAATTGATTTTATATGATCCGCACTATATGCAGTTGTATAAAAATTTTGTGTACTTTAGTACTACTAAACAATATATACTTAAGATTCATACCATGACATCTATTTACACTCACCTCATCATTTTTTGGCTGATATAATTTTCTATATAAGTAAAAAGAGATTACTATTTTTAACCGGTGGTAATTTTTACCAGGATACTATATTTCAAAAACTTACTAAGTAATTAACATTGGGAGTTCTAAGTAAAAATACTCAGGGCCCCAAAAATCTTATTTAACTAAAATTTGGAAATTCTCTATTTGTCCCAAAATTACGCCCTAACTCTGATGGCGATTTTACACCGGTAAATAGTTATTTTAAAATCAAATACTTGTAAACATCGTTTGTGTTAAACAGTATAAAATATAATTTAAAATAAAATTAAAATGCTAGATCGAATATGCTTGCATATTCACATTATAGTAATTTGTATGATACTATTCGAGACAAACAAGTGTTGATCAACCAGTTATGCAGTCATGGAATTATGAATTTAAAATATCAATAATTATAAGTTTGGTTTAGCGGATACTTAATCAAACCGTATTTTTTACACACACAATTTAAATATGTAAATTTTAATGAATGTAAAAATAAATCATTCCTCGATTATCAGCTTTTTTTACTAAAGCTGGTACCTACTTAAATAAGAGGAAATACAGAAACTAAATTAGATAAAATAAAGTATTTTTAATAAATCTTTATTAAAGGATCCTTTACCTTACTCCTTTTCTTTTTATTCTTAACTTTATGGTCTTACGTACTTTTACTTATAACTAAAAAATGAAGGAAATAACTCAACAGCGATTAAATTTAGATACCAAATCTCAAGGTTTAAGATTTAAAATTGAAACACCAAATTCACTTAAAAAAAAATTAAAATACAATTTAACAATAAAGAGTGCCATTCAAATTGTGTCTCAAGATAAAACTTTTAAACATGAATCACCAGATACATTTCGTGTTAGGAATCAACTAAAACACAATAAACCAAAACCTACACGTAAATTAAAGCATTCTAAGTCATTGCCTAGTGAATCTAAATTTGAATCTAGACCTAAAGAGTTACCACGCTCAAGTTCCTTACCTAATAATACATCTTTTCCGGAAGCTTACTATCTAGATGCAGTGTCCAATGTTTCTTTCAGTTCTCTAAATACAACACAGAATATAATATGCTCTTATCCATTTACCGAGGAGCCTGAAACATACTCTGCGCAAGAATTCAGACAAAATAATGAATTATATGATGGTATGCTATTTGAAGGGAGTAATGACTATACAACTAGTAAGTATTAAATTGAAATATTCAATATTTAGTTTTTTATGTTAACAATTTTTTAATATTATTGCTATATATTAATAATAATAAATTTAATTATTTCATTAGTTATCGATCAAGATATTGATACTGTGGATTCATGCTGTCCATCAAATTCCAAAGTTAATATTTCTTTATATGAAAATACTTCTGATACTTCAGACATGCCAGTTTGTTGTCATAATTATAGCTGGCATTCAGACAACAGTTGGCTTTCAGACGATAACTGGCTTTCAAGGTCATTATCCAAAGAACAAGCCTTGACTAACACAGAGCATTCCTCTAATAACTTTGAAAAATCATCTGCTTGCAATTTCAAGTAAATTGTAATCAATAGGAAGTGTGTAACAAATTGTCATACGAACTATTCAGATGGTGAGAGTTACAATAAATGTGATCAATTTACATATAGGCGCAGAAATATAACTTTACAAGGCCCATATATTTGACACACCTTTGTGTCGTAACTAAGTCACGAAATTTCAACAATATTTCTGCACCTATCTTATTTAAGTTCTTAATATACGCATGGTATTAATGACATTTTTTTTGTATGAATGAAGAATAGGTTTTATGTAAACGTCCGGACGTTTAAATTCTGATGATTCAATAGTTAACTGTAATTCCTAGAGTTTTGTTAACAATGTTCAGTTCTGTTTAACAACTTTCAAACAATGATCTCGAAGATTTTAAAGCAGGTATCCATGTCATACTGATGTTTTTATTGAAATTTTAGCTACCTTGATCAGTGATTTAATTGGTTTCATCTAACAGAAAATGGTTGTTTATGGG